ATCTACGGGACGTTCATTACCTGGATCGATTGCAACATGTCCGAGACTGCGATCACAAGGTCACCGGATTTGATCATACCTCTTGATTTAAGTAACGAGAATGTTTTGTTCAAGTTGCTTTCCATGTCGTCTGAGAAGCTTAGACGGAAAGGGATAAGTCCCCATTGTAGGTTTAAGCGTCTTCTTACCGAGGTTGTGGTCGTGAAAGCAAAGATCGGACAGTCTGGGCGACACCGGGAGACTAAAGACGCCATGTGTCCGCTCTTTGTGTAGACGAAAACCGCGTCCACTCCAAGATTGTTAGCTGCATGTTTCGGATGATAAAATGAGACACTAAAGATTGAGAAACAAAAACTAAAGGCAGATTGGTTTTGAGGAACAAAGAATTTGAATTTACCCATTTTAGCAGCAGAGTTACAGATCTCTTCAGATATTTTGTCGGAAAAGGTAGAGCCTATGGCTTGAAGTGGCGTAGACTCGTAGCGTTCCTCTTCCCTCCACCATCTTTCGATTCTTAGACTAACACTCCTCAGAACAGCAAGAGCCTTGTCCGGGAATTGGCCCATAGCTGATTCTCCAGAGAGCATTAAAGCGTCTGATCTTTGCCTTACTGCTTCAGACACATCGGCTACTTCTGCTCTGGTTGGAGTTGGGTACTCAATCATGGACTCAAGTAGCTGTGAAGCGACGATGACGGGTTTGTTAAGCGCTCTGCAGACTTGAACGATTTTCTGCTGAGCTGCTGGAACTTGCTCAAGAGGTATCTGAGCTCCCAAATCTCCTCTTGCAACCATGGCTCCATCTGATGCCAGTATAATTTCTTCCAAGTTTGTCAGTGAATCAATACTCTCGATCTTTGCAATCACTCCTATGTCCCTGTATCGTAAAAAGAATACATCATCAAAATGAGACTATAAAAAAAGACGGTGGATACAGAAGGCAAAACCCAATTCTAAAATAGCCTGAGCCCCAAAGTAGATGATATATTTCTTATACAGTAGTATGACGTGTTGGTAATGAACATATTTACTTACTCTCCATGAGAACGAGCAGCAAGATAACTTTTAAGATGATTAATGACTTCAGCCGACTTGACAAACGATATAGCAATGAAATCCACACCTTCAGCAATACCAAAATCAATATCCAACCAGTCCTGAAATTCAAGAATTGAGGTATCATCAGTGAAAATGCATCTGCTTTCCCTCAGGGGAGATATATTATATCTGTTTTAGTTTTGAGTAAAACATCATATATGTGCATAGCATTAATTAGGAGATAAAATAAAATTCGGTACACAAAGACATTGCATATAAAATCAGCACTTGGACTCTAGTTTGATAGAGAAAGCATTGCTATTGTGATATAGCTACTTGTCACTTTTGTGGATTATTTTGTTCTATGTTTTCCATAGCAGAGAAATACTGGTTCATGTGTTATCTCTCTTTTAGTAATACAGAGACAAAACAAAAAGGATGCACATGGACTCATCTAGGTTCCAAAAGTGTACATCTTCACATTGTTTTTATCCATCCACAATTTACCAAATAAGGTGAGGTGAATCAAAAATCAAAGAGAAGATAAAATTCCAGACCTTGGAAGAAATCGTTGGAAGCATAGCATTACGCTCTCGTACAAGACTTCCATCTCTCCAAAAAGTCAAGTTAGCTCGAGGAAGCAACAATCCAGGGTCAGTACATCGACACTTAACATCAGGACCAATCTTCTCAATCACTTCAAATCTCACCATTCCACCATCAACCAAAAGTTCATCCCCAAC